TTGTATCTCATGACCAGGTGACAGGCAAAGTACATCCTCGTGTGCTGATTGAAATGACAGTGAAAAAGTTTACCATAGCAAGAATAAAGGTGGACATTTTACATTATGTAGGGGATTTTGAGACCATGTATATGAAGGCATCCATTTATGACTTGGTGGTTGGCAATAAGCCAAGCAGTAGAAGTTTGGAGGAACCAGACAGATAGAAGACTGATGAAACATCTGCAGTTACCACTAGAGTTCAAGAAAAGAAAAGTGTCATCCCAAAGGCCTGACTCAAATGATAAACTATATATATATTTATATATGTAAACAATCCAGTGCTCTTCCACGTCTTCAGCACATTAACCATGGTGAAATTGGACAAGAAAATGTGAGCTGAAGTCTTTCCACCATTCAAACCACAAGTGCTGCATCCAATTATTAATATTTTGTGAATGGTCAAGAATTTCTTTCCTTGTAGCATCTTGATTCCAGATGACTGACATTTATAAACTCTGTGTAACAGAGCATCATTGGAATCACACGCAAATTCAGAGAGAATGAGACATGGGTAGGATTTAAGACCAAGGTGCTTATGTGTTGGGGGTAGGTGTGGGGCAAAAATGTCTGTCTTACTTATTGCAAATGTTGTGTGTATACTATATCCCACAGATTTACTAGCAGTTTAGACACAACCTCATAGTTGTGTGATACTTCATTTTTACTGTCCAATGGGAAAAATTAAAACAGTACTACACTCTCTCTTTGCCTTAGTTTACATCAGAAAAAGATACAATTTTGGGATACAAAGTAACCAATGTGTGTATTGTTTGTACAGCCAATTATATCTAAACTTTAATAAACACTTTGAAACATGTTGTTAAAATATAATATCATTACTGAAAACTGCTCCCAACTTTAATCCCACTTATGATATAGGCCTATTACTAATTGTGGGTGTACTGTTCCATTATTTTGGTAATATATTGAAATGATAGATTAAATGAGCTTTATAACAAGTAATTAATAGAAAATATATTAAAAAAAATTATTTTGTTGAATCATAAAAATAGAAATGAAGAGATAACATTCTAATGAATATTAGTTGTCTTTCAGATACTTTTACCTTGCCTGAAATAAATAATGCTCTGATTAACTAACCTTAAATTATGGCTTCAAAGGATTTCAAGAAAATTCTTTTACATAAAAATTGTTGTTAACCAAGACTTAAATACAACACCTTTGAAAGCTTCTGTTGTTTGATGAGTTCATATCATAAGTATCTGTCACATTTTGCTAAATGTAATATGTGTAATGAAAAGTGACAGTATAATGATAAACCGTTTAAATTAGTTCTTCAGTCTAGATCCAACATAGTCCTGCTTACGATGAGGACAGATAAAGTTGCAAACATCAAACAGCTCATAATTGCTAAGGTCTCCAATTCCTGTTTAGCACTACTAAATACTGCCATAGCTTAAGTTGCGCAATGCAAAATATTTGGCTTTTCAGGATCAACTTACATTTAAAATGACAGCTGCACTAAATGTGGAATATTTTCTAATGTTTTTTTTCTTTTCAGATGATTATAAAAAAATTTACATTCTAAATTCTATCTCACTTTTGAATTGTCTTTCGTATTTCTAGTACCATGACATGGATAAATTCATTTTACTGATTAATAGTCCAATTTTCTTAATTTCCTTGATTAATTTTAAGTTCATCAAATTTCTTTAATATTCTTGTTTGCAGGAACCCTGTAAGCTATGTAATATTTGTATGCACATACAGTTTGCTATTTGTTTGTATCATTAAAATCTTAAAAACCAAGTGTACAAAACCAGTCTTAGATTTTATCATTATATGAAGAAACAATGTGGTAAACCTACTAACAAGAATTTAAAGCTACAATTACATTTGTCATAAGATGTTAGATGTATTATACCTAATACATATGTAAACACCACATTCTTAAGTTACTCCCTTTGAGATTTTCAAGAATCAGAAGAGTGTACAATAATAGTATTCTAACCAACCTATATTTGTCATATCCATTGCCGACAACAAGTTTCAATCAATCCAGAGTTCTTCAGCTAAAATTTTATTTGGCCTTCCATTAGACTTTGCATGTAAAAGAACTACTTCTAGTTCATCATTTTAAGCCTGAACTTAATCAAACTGTAAGGTAATTGTTAAAATTTGAGAGTAAATATTCTGACCCATAAATTTGTCCAATGAAAAAAACTAGCATACAAACAAGTGGTCTCATGTCAAATGGAAGTCTCTCTATAACTCTTAGTTCTTATATTAAATGTTTTAAATTACCATACTTTGCAAATCAATAATTTTAAACATGTACTGACAATCTTATGAGAAAGTGTAAAACCACCAAGTTCTTTTTAAAAACAGTTCATTTTAACACTTTCTAAAGCAGAAGAGAGTCTTTAATATCATTTGATTTTTTTCCTTTTCACAACAAATATGCTTAACAAAACTAGATGAAACTTTGAACAAGATTACCAAATAGTATCTAGTTTTGATTAAAAAGATTTATACAATTTGATTTAGTACCTTTATCATTCTTTTATTTTTTGAAGTTTACCAACTTTGTTACAATATTCTGTTTAAAAAAATTATGATCAAAAATACTCCTTTTCTTTTAGAATTTAACTTTTTCTATTATTTAGTAGAAAGTTCCATATAATCTGTCATTTTAAACTGATTGACATTCTTTAATATATATATCTTTGAACACTTTATTTTTCTCAATTTCAAGTAGTCACCAATTTTGGTCATCAGGTCAGGTGAAAAAATAATATCAGGATTTGACAATTTTTGGAATGGCCCCTTGTCCAGCAGGGTAAGTTACATAAATTTTTACTTGCCCTTCAAGATGTTTTGAATAGTATAATTTCCAGTCATAACAAACCAGGTAAATCTTAGATGCTGACCTTATTCTCAGAAGAAGTTTCCAAACACTTTTGACTCATCATGACTAATAATTATTTGCTAAAGAAGCCCCAGTAATTTCTTCCTAAATGAATGGTTTATTTATGTTATTGGCCTTTTGATCTATGCATAGCCAATGATTGTTATCAGTTTGCATGATGTATATATATGTTTTATGTACAGGAAACCAATAATCAATAAACACTTTGATCTCTCTCTCTTTCCAAATGCAGTTATATACACAAAAAACCATAAGGGATAAAAGTAAGCCACAGAAAATTCAATAGTGTGGCATGTTCAAATCTATATGGACCTGTAAAAGGCATTGGTTGTCAAACAAAATTGGGATACAATGTTAAGGATATTAAGCGTTAGTTTTATAAAATGTAAGTTACTTTGTACACAAAATTTCTATTTTTCAGTATCATGGACCATAAAAGAGAATCATGGCCATAATTACTGTACCATTTGTTATGCATGGTAACAGCATCAAAGGCCACAATACTGAAATACACATACTGATTTGTATGAAAAGTGACAGTATAATGATAAACAGAAAATAAAAACGAGAGCTATTCAATGAAGCCTGCCCATTTATCTTGAGCTTCGTAATTACTCCACAAGTTACTTAATTTTAACCAGCATTCATCCAATGAAAAAAGTCAACTTTACCTTATTCATCCACTACTCATATATATATATATATATAAGTGAAGAAAGGAATTTTGGAGGCCAAAATATACTTGCTAACATTATCTTGGTTGAGAACAATTTTTATATAAGGAAAATACATTCCTTTTAATAAATTATAAGTTATTTTATTTATACAAACTGTTTTAGCATGATAAACTCAACAACTACAGATTTGAGTCAATGGAACATTTTGCCATCCCCAACTGAACTCACTAACAAAAATTACCTCATGTTTGGTAACAGAAGCCTACAAACATATATAATTTAACATACAAACATTTTCAAGTACAAAAGTAAAACTGTGAGACACTATAATAAAATTTCCAGATTAGTGATTTGTTCCTAAGTCTTCTAACCTTTAAACTTTCCATTAACTACAACTGTTCTGTCTTGAAGGAGCTAGATATTGTCACTTCTCACACCATTTTATTCCACTCTACCTTAATGTAAATAGCCTATAATCTGCATTATCCAATGATACTTGAAGTTTGCCTGCAGCTATTTTCCAAGCTTAGTTTCATTAGTAGTTGTTCTTATTACATGCTGCAAGATCATAATAGGTTGGGAAAGAGACACTGTACCAATAAATTCAGTGAAAGAAAGGAAAAATCATATTCCAAGCAAAATGTAGATAATTATAGTCTCAAGAGGTAATAATTTGTTTTCAAATATAAATCTATGATTTGGGATGGCTATAAAAATTCTAAATAAATCAATAAATGTTTCATTTAAAGAAAGACTGCTCAGAGCTGCACAGAACAGTTTGAACATTTTCTCCTTGTTTGTAAATTACACAAAGTAAATTTTACACAATGGCAAAATATGAATTTCTAAAACATTTCTGAGTGTTGAAATGGGGTTAAACTATTATTTTACTTGAATTTTGATATTTTTGATATGCAAGTGTAAACAAGTCACCTGAAAGGTGCTCACTGGTCTTGATAGAGTCTATGTTAATTTAAAACTGTATTAGCTGTTTCAATTATGAGTTTTACAAGTTCTTAACCAAAAGTTTAATTAGAAAATTCTAATTTCCTTGGACATTAAATCAATTACTATCATGATTCTAACATACTTTAATGCTAACAATTTTTCTATTTCACAACCAGGGTATCCAAAATGAGAACAAATAAAAATAAGCATATACTTAATGCAAGCAGATTCACATTGCATAAAAAAAGAAACAGCTTTCAGTAATTTTTACCAAATCATCTCTACACATGGGATTAGGTCCCAAATAGGATGCAAGTCTAATGAATGGATTACATTTATGGAAGTAGACTCTAGGTGCTACACCAGTGTGTGTGTGTGTATATATATAAGCAACTACTGAAATATACTTCTTAGCATAAAACATGAAACAAACTAATACATACCTGGAGAATCTGAACTTGATTCTTTCTGGAAAAGTAAGCTTTTAATAAAGAATACACTTTTTGAATGAAGAATTTTATGTCTTTTTCATCCTTCCATTTTTCAGAAACTACACCAAGAGGAATAAATACTGGAAAATTGCTCTCTAAAATTCTTGGGTGCTCAGAGCTTACATCAAAGTCAGCATAAAGACTTTCCATGTAACAAGAATCAAGAGAAATATCAAACTGTACACGAGCAACTTTATCCATCACTTTGAGAACTGTGATTCCAGCTATGATAAAAAAAAAAGACAATGAAACAATATTAAGTACAAAAACTAGCTGAATATATATTTTATTATTACTTCTGAACTTAATATACTACTTTAAGAATATTTAACAAAAATGAAAACTTCCAAATCTTCACAAGTTGTATACTTTTGTTTCAGCTTTGCTTTATAAAAAATATTTGCTAAATAGCTATCCAACACGGCTAGCCAATAACTCAATTAAGCAGCATAATCAGGTACCTATGAGAATCTGTTATATTAATTAGTGTCATGAAAAATAATCAAAATTACAATTACATAGATTAATGTAAAAATAATACACTAATCAAAATTAGTGTTTGCAGTTCTTAATGTTTTCTATTATTCAAATTATCCACATAATTAAAGTATTATCAATGTGATTTATCATTATTTTTGAATAATTCAATGTTGTTCAGCTTAAAATGATTATTTTCACAACTTGTAAATAATCAACTAATCAAAATTAGCATTTGCAATTAATACTATTTTTTTTATTATTCCAATTGTTTAAGTCTCATATGAGAATACTCATTTTGTTGAATATAATCAATTAAGGAGCCCAATGATTAATCAATTATCAACTTTCACTAGTTGCCCAAGATGTGAAAATAACTGATTTGTTGAAGTGATTTATAAAATTACCTTCCCCAGAAGAGAAGCTATGACTGAAGAGAGAGATGAATAAGACAGACCTTGGTGATAATTCCTAGGTATCAAGAAGCATTTGATTGTGTGTTGGGTTGATCATGGTGGTAATAGATGAACCTATTTCAAAGTCTGACAACAATCTTTTATTGGCCACAAAACAAGACATTTCTGGTTTAAAATTCTAACATAAGGGACCACTTCCAAATACTACTTCTTTCTGAACCAAAGAAATCTTAAAAAATTTGGGCATGAGATGGTCATTTCCTGCAGAAGTGTTTAAAGAGGATGCCAGATTTAAATTATGTACAAAGTCAAGTGCACTGAAGTGTCTCTAAAATTGTGCAGTGAGTTCCCATGGTAAACAAGTGTTTTGGAACCCAACTTCCATGGCTAAGCAAGTACTGAAAACTTATCATACACCACTGCTCTTTAAGTTCAGTGATGTGATACAATACTGGACTGCCCTCTTAAGAATATTGTTGCCACACTCAGGGTATTCAAAATGAGAAAATAAAAATAAGCATATAACTAATGCAAGCAGAGTCACTTGACTAAGGTAACACAATTAAGTAGAAAATATGAATTGCACATGCTACAAATGACGGAAAAAGTGGGAAGATATTTCCATATTCCATATTCCAGCTTAAGAGATGTCCTCCAAGCATATTCAAGACAACAGGTAAATTGCCCAATGTCTTATCTGGTGTTGGCAAAACATGGACAGTAAATGTAATACAAGATATAATTGTTTAAGTGAAAAGTGAAGCTTTTAGGGTTGATGCATATAGTTATTACATAGCAGAAGCTTTTAACCCGATGACTACCGGTACTAACTTTCTTAGTAGGCAATGCAAGTGTGAGGGCAAAATCATTTGTGAATTGAAAACATGATAGAGAAC